GTGTACCTTGCTTTATTTAATTCAACCAATATTTAAAACCGCTCTCCAGTCTCCAGATTGGGCTGCGACACGATTGAGCATAAAACACCTTTTTCGCAACACGATTGAGCATAAATTGTCGGCGTATCAAAGGAAATTGGAATACAAAAGAAAACCAACACGATTGAGCATAAAAAACTCTGCAACGTTGCCATTTTCAATTTTGAACTGTATTATAGGTACAAAAATATTTATTTAAATAAGTTCGTTGSGAATAATTTTAAGTGGCCGTGGGAAAATTGATTCTTCAGCTTTTCTCTTGAAATTTTCTCTCAAAACTTGTGTTTCTATTTTTTCAATAGAATTTTGATCGTGTTTATGTTGTCTAGCAGTTTCAATCACTTTACGTTAACTAAACCTGAGAACATTATTGCTGAACATTTACTATTCGTAGTTTCGTACACCTCCGTCTTAAAAGATTAATCTTTTTTGCGCTATCCAGTTAATTTATATGTGTATAAATTCAYTAAGGCCAATTCTTTGCCTCTCTCTGATAAAATAATTGTTATATCACTTATATCCATATTAAAAAAATTGAAACTATAAAAGCACTTATACGAAACGCACTATAACTGTCTACACACGACTATAGTATGTGATCGAACATCAAACACTGATATTATTTCTTTAATAATTTTGGAATTGTATCTTAATTATCTTATATTTGGCATTTGCCCCCGATGCTAAATGTCTAAAACATCGTTTTGCTCCGGAACTAATTTATTAATCGATAACATTGTCGATAAAGTCGAGGAGCTCGGCTCACGGATCACGGTTCGCGTCATATATCATAATAATTGGTGTAATAACGTAATAACCATAGACCTTATAAGGTCTATATAAGGTCTATGGTAATAACAAGTGATAATAATTTTAAAATGTTGGCAAAGTGAATATGGCAACATCGCATAAAATATTCTATGCTCAATCGTGCTTTACCGCCAGATTGGGTACCTATATAACTCTGTGTATTTTGAAATTGGGTTTAAGCTATMAACACTCCATAATTTCCCTTACACCTTTTATTTAATTTGGAATAATTTTTGAAAATTKCAGTTTTCAGTTTCAATATCAGGATAATATCTTATCCAACATTATAATATGAAGAATCGTCATTATTGAATTTTTTGTTGTTTSACTATGGTATTTACTATAATAATTTAGTAATTTCAGTTCAGTGCTACCGAATTGCGATTGAAAATATATCGAAGCAGGGCCAAGTCAACTGTTATCTCAGATAGTGTTGTAAATGTTGTAATAGCCTTGAGCCCTTGAATAGGAATATAATATTATCATTAAAAGCGATTTATCCGTCACATGGTAATTCGTTTGAACGTTTTAATTTATATTTTTTAAATCAAACTTACAATTTTTTTTATCTTTTCCGTATGATTTTAATTTTAATCAAACGTATTTTAATATTTGGGAACAGTTGACAACACTATATATTTTAAAATGCCAACATCTTGTTGTGTACGTGGTTGCAAGAGTAAAGGCAATGGTAAAATCAAATATTTCAGGTAAGTGACATATTATCTTAGATTTTGTTTGCTTCTAATGCTTGTATTMGATACAATCATATCAATACTCTATTATCATTTATCAGTAGTTATTAAATTGAAGTAAGTTGTCTACCTGCAATAGCTTCTAACATTCTTTCTAATTGGTTATTGGTTCAAATTGAACAGCAATAATGCCACAAATCGTTGGTGGTTTCTGTCGGCGGATAGTTAGAATAATTTACTTACAATTATTACGAATTAAGTTCTTYATGTCTATTATGTCATAGTCATAGATGCAAATATTGTGAGATTCGAAAGGTCAGGTCTATCTATAAGGGACCTTAAAAATCTTCAAATTTATTTTTGGGGGCTATATTTTTTGWGGGAGGAGGGGGTCTAAGCCACTGCTTTTTTCGCAAGTGACTATAATAATAATAATAATTCAATTTTTACAGATAGTAAAGACAGTTATGTAGATGTATTGTTTTTTTAAATTTGAACTGGTTAATAAAATATGCTATGACGCTACTGCTGCAACTTGTAAAAATCTATAATTTTTTGTGTTTTGATAGATTTCCTAGGGACGTAAACCGTAGATCACAATGGATACAAGCACTTGGTAGAGAAAACTTTGTTCCCACAAATAATACCTTGATTTGTGAAGCACATTTTACTATTAATGATTATCAAAAAAGACCYGATCTTATTAAGTTAACACATACTGCTGTTCCAAGTATTTTTAACTCTCAGGAAAATGAAAAACATAATGCTTCTCTGAAAAAAGTTATGGATTTGGGATTAAAATCCTCTCGAATGCCTGCAAGAAAACGTCATGGTAATTTATCAKACCATACTTATGTGCTGAAACTTCCTGAAGAGTCGATTATATCTGAAGATATAGGTTTCCAAAAATCAATCAATCCATCAGATTGTGTAGTCCACACATTAAATGCCAGCGAATCTTGTGTGTTAGATATACCCCAATCAAGTATTCACACATTAAGAAATAATGAAAGTAATTTTTATCTACCTATATTTTATCATCATATGATTTTTTTTTTCATTGCGTTAATTTTTGTATATATTTTTAGATCCTGGCTTTAAAATATCAGAGAGTTTCAAAATCACTTTTCAACCCCCAAAGAAGAATTGGGAAACTATTGCAATGACACAACAAAAAACTATACATGATTTAAGAAAAAAAATAAAAGTACTTCATCAAAAAATTAGACGCTATTCCTCAACAATCGAAACTTTAAAGGTTAGTGTTTTGTAAATCTTTATACAAGGGCTTTTGCAGGGATATGGTTAA